ACATGTTCAGTTATATGTGCGACGATCGAAGTAAATGGGAAGCAAGATCGAATGATCATGCTCATTCTTCAAATAACAGTGCCATGAAATTTTTTAAATATAAGGTGATATACTGAATAAATTTTCTGTCTATCGAATTAATTTCAAATTAATTCACAATTTTATTTTGTTTCTATTTACAATCAACAGAAGAATAAATTTACTAAGAAGAGATTAAATTTAAAAACTGTATGATTTTAAAGTTAATAAGTATTTCTTGTTCATAGTAAGTGAAATTACCTCAAACATATGTCTCATTTCGTAATTTTCATAGTTATTTTATTTATACTTTATGGTAAATAATTTAAGTGCCACCTTATTTATTAACGCTAGATCTATTGATCTGTAATGCACATATAAATATAACATATATAGATAATAATAATTAAATATTAGATATAAATTTTACATTTATAAATATAATATATTTTAACCCTAGAACATCCCTCCATGTGACTGTACATTTACGATAGCTTGGGTCCGCAAAGACCCCAATATGGTGAGTGTAACAATTTTTATCGTCAACGCACCATATTAATTTATAAAATGAGCTTTTAGTATAATATTAAGAACTGAGAAAGAAATATTTTCGTATAAACTTCGTTTCAGTTTTATTTACAATTGCATCAGTTCTTAAACGATTAAGAAAATCACGAATCAATAAAGACTCGAAAAATATTTTAGAGTTAAACAAATTAAATATTAAATATTATAAAAATAAATAATAATCTTAGCTTGGGTCCGCAAAGACCCCGATATGGTGAATGTAACAATTTTTATCGTCAACGCACCATATTAATTTATAAAATGAGCTTTTAGTATAATATTAAGAACTGAGAAAGAAATATTTTCGTGTAAACTTCGTTTCAGTTTTATTTACAATTACATCAGTTCTTAAACGATTAAAAAAATCACGAATCAATAAGAACCCGAAAAAAGATAATATTAAATATTATAAAAATAAATAGTAATCTTCCTACCTCGATAAATTTCAATATTAATTTCGTCACAGCCAATTTCATATTATCAATAACTTACAAACAATACGTGATTTCGCAGCCATAATCATTTTCACCACTGCCATAGTTCATTTCCTATAAGTACCAAAGAAATCCGGTTTCAATGATCAAAGACCATCTTACCCAAAATACAAGAAATATTGTATTTCTGTTCCCTTTAATTCGGGTATTTTGCATATGCGTCAGCCATAATCGGCAAGCACGAATCGTTCGAATCCCTTAAACAAAGAGAAAGCAGTTTGATCATAAAACATGGGCTTAATGATGCCGTTGGCGGTGAAAGTGAAAGCAATTTCTTTCTGGAGAACTTCTCGAGTCTTTATCGGGGTGAACGAAGTTATCGCGCGATCTCACAGTGATCAGAGAGAATCGGGCCGAACGTGTCGGAGTACAACGACTCTTCGACTTTGGCCACGGTTTCGTGGTAAAGGAGGAGCTCGAGTAGAGGGAGTAGCAAGGGTAGCACCCCTTACCACTCGCTAGTGGCACGGGGGATTTTATTTATTCCGGGTTGGTACGCTTGTTCCGGCCTCCTCCACTGAATCCCTCTTTTCAACCCTCCTCCTCCTCCTCCTCCTCCTCCCGCTCTCTGCCTCTTCCTACTTTTCTACCCCACACCATCCCGCCCGACAATTCTCCAGCAGGGTGGTTGCCAACGTGGCCGACTCTGTTTAACGACTTTCTTGTACATTGAACGCAATAAATACCTGTGTCCCATTCAAGAATCTCCATTTACGTGGCAGTCGCTACTCTCTAACGGTGTGCTGTCCTCGAGTACTTAAATTATCCTCCAACTTTATGCAAAATGGCGGATATAAATATGCAAGGCACATAGAAATACTAACTTATACGTATACATATATATCTTTGACTAGTTATATTCATAGACGAAAATGCTCGAACGATTACGTTCGCCAAATTTAACAGCTGAAATATATTTGTTAAGTCGAACTGTTTGAAACGACTTAGAACATCTAAGAAAGGAAGACATATGCAGATTATATCAGTAAAATTAAACAGATAATTCGTAACATTGGAGATACGGGTCGTGGTGGCGCTAGTGAGTTAATGGAAAATCTGAAGACTGTCGTAGGCAACGAAAGATGAATAAATATAGTATCGAAACTTCTTATTTGTCAATTAATGATGCTTTTGGCTAATATTATACGTTATTTTCGAATATTTTTGTGACCAACTGATAGTACACGTTTGTAATAAATATATTCTAAATCCTGTACGTATCCTATATTAAATTATTTTCTAATTTTACTGATATAATCCCAAGACTTTCTTACTATACACGTGATTATCGTTTCAATTATTTCAACTTATGTCACTTATTGAAGACATTCGCCAAGGTTAACAGCTGAAATATATTTGTTAAATCGAAGTGTTTGAAAGGATATAGAACATGTGAGAAACAAAGATATCTGCAGATTATATCAGTAAAATTAAACAGATAATTCGGAACAGTGGAGATACTGGTCGTGGTGGCGCTAGTGAGTTAATGGAAAATCTCAAGACTGTCGTAGGCAACAAAAGATGAATAAATATAGTATCGAAACTTCTTATTTGTTAATTAATGATGCTTTTGGCTAATATTACATGTTATTTCCGAATATTTTTGTGACTAACTGATAGTACATGTTTCTAATAAATATATTCTAAATCCTGCACGTATCCTATATTGAATTATTTTCTAATTTTACTGATATAATCCCAAGACTTTCTTACTGTACACGTTATTATCGTTTCAATTATTTCAACTTATGTCACTTATTGAAGACAGTATCTGTAAACCTTCGAATGCCTTCACTTCAATAATTTTACATTTTTCAACCACTTTTAACAGGTCATAAGAATCAGTTGTTTCGGTGTTATTAAATCTTGAGGGAGGGAATTGTTTTGGAAAATGGGACAGTTTTAAGTCGTACACCGTGTCCACTACTGAGAAGTTTTGAAGCTTTTAAGATTTAGTGGCGTAAGCATTCGAGGTGGAAACTGTTTGAGCATCACTGGGAGCAATATACCATGATGTCAGCCACTCTGCCGTGGCTCCGCTCTGCCAGGGTTGGTACCGGGGGTGGCTTGGCTTCGCCGGGGTACAAAATGATATCATTGGGTTATAAATTCCAAGCAGAGACACCGGCGGCCCGATCGCCCCCCTTCCTTCTTGTTACAACCCTTCTCCGGCCACTCCGGCCCTCAGTCTCTTCCTCTGTCCGCTTTCTCCCCTTTCTCTTTCTCTTACTCTTTCTCCTTGCCACGCTGCCACGGGAAATATATCTACCACGCGGCCTCGACCGAATAAACAGAATATTCAGATAATTTTCCGTATCCCACCCCCTAACTAACTGTCTCGGCTTACTTCGCGCGATCGAGCAGGAATTCGCGTTATTTCTCAGCCCCCTCTCTTCTGCCACTTTTCCCCCTGTATACCATTCATTATTATATTCGTGATTTCATATATATTATAAGCCCAGTGCGTGTGAAGATTATTTACGTCCAATTTTCTACTTATGCTCTTTACGTATGTTTATGTCAGGGGTTGAATTATTTTTCAGGTCATTTTTCGTATATCCTAATTCAAAAGTATTTGTTATTCATTAAAATATTAAGGTAATGATAAAGGTGTCAGATATTAAGTTGGTTATGGAAAATGATATTAGGAATATATTTATATTGTTAAAATTATTTTATGAGGAAGGGTAGAATGAAATAAGGTGTTTAATATATTTTACTACTAGCAGAAAATCCTTGAACATAGTAATGTTAATTATATAAAACAGAAAAATTATAAAAGATTATTTTATCACAAGTGTAAGGCTACATATTTAGAACTATGTAAAATTTAGTAATATTATGTTTCTATCGCTACTATTGATATTTATTACAGAGGTAAATTAAAATTATGAAAAATTAATTATACAATAATACATAGTGCGCCAAATATGTTGAATAATTTTTATTTAAAAATTGCAAATAAAGTAGAGGAAACAATGCTTAAGATATTGCCCTTGTTATCAGAAAAAAGGGAAAAAAATTTTTATTTCATTTCATACAGGGAAGATGGAAATATTTTATTAAAGACTATAGTGATTCAAAGGAAAACGAGATTTAAAACTACGTAAAATTCAATAACATAAAATCTTTATTTATATTAACTAGGTAAAGCAATTATACGAGTTATTTTATTGAGTTTTACTAAATACTAACCTAACTTGAATTGTATATCTTATTTAAACTACACAGAAATGCAAAAAAAAAAAATAAATATTATGCGTTTCATAAAATTTATTTTAGGACAAATTAGGTACATAGAATGTTAATGCAGCTTAGTATAATTCTGTAATGCCACGGTACAAGCATGCAAATGTAAATTATCTAACCATACTATAATGTTAAGATATTAACACCGTGTACAATTTTAACTAATGTCTCTGAAAGGTGTAATTTAAAGCAAAATTGCCCTAGAATAACTTCAAATCTTGCAAAGTTACAATGACTTTAACAATATCATTTATATACATATATATTATTATTGGAGGATTGTAGATTATTTATTGAAAAAAATCGATACGTATATAAATGTTAATATATTTAATAATTAGTAAATTGTATGTTCGCATAATTAGGTCTCTACACACCTGTACCTCTCCAAACACCGTGCATAAAAGCGATATCACCAAACGAAGGATGGACTTCCGGTGGATCCACAGTGATAATCATTGGGGAGAACTTCTTTGATGGACTTCAAGTAGTTTTTGGATCTATGTTGGTTTGGAGCGAGGTATGTAATTTTACATTACAGAAAAATAATTGGAATCTTAGGAAACAAATTTATTCCTACGAATAAATAAAAAATTAAAATTCGTTGTTCAAAGCAATGTAAATATTGTACATATTTTGTGTAGTATATCTAGAGTATGGTGTTTTAAGTTCCTTTACTTTTTCTTTCCAGCTAATTACACCAAATGCGATCAGAGTACAAACTCCACCACGACAGATACCAGGCGTCGTTGAAGTCACGTTATCCTACAAAACAAAACAATTCTGTAAAGGAGCACCTGGTAGATTCGTTTATGTTTGTAAGTATAATAACTACATATTTTATTTTACTTTTCCATGAAAAATGCAACTCATTTTAGTCATAAAATTAAATAAATGCGATAAATTAGGTTAGATATGTTGCATCGTGTAATCTTGTAATCCATAAACTTTTACCTAAGTAATACTACTGTTAATCGAAATCTTTATCACTGAAAACTGTGATATAATGCAATTATTAAATAATTAAATAATTAAAATAATTCTGAACACACATCTTGTTCCACAATCAAGAAATAATTAATCCCTTGCATTGAAATGACACAAACTTAAACTCACAATGACTTTCCAATGTAAAAATACTTAATAGGTTACACGAATCGATGTAAATATTTTATAAAATTTGTGGCTATTGATAGATAACCAATTATTCTATTATAAAATCAGAAACATAAATTATTATATTACCTGCAGTTGCATTAATCAGAAATAAAAGAATTGAGTTGTATATCTAAATATGATTGTCTGTAAATAAATCCTGAATGAAAGAAATTGATATACAAAAAATGAAAAGAAAAGTAGAAACACTAATGTAAGAAAATGTATACATATGTTATAACTAAAACGGAATTTCACAAATTTTTCAGCACTGAGTGAGCCGACGATCGACTACGGCTTCCAAAGGTTACAGAAACTTATTCCTCGACATCCCGGTGACCCAGAAAAATTACCAAAAGAAGTGATATTGAAAAGAGCAGCGGATCTCGCGGAAGCGTTATACAGTATGCCCAGAAGCGGAAACGCTGGAATTACTGGAGCACCCAGGAGTCCCGGATCCGGCCACCCACCTGCACCCCCGACCTCTAGTTCGGCAACAGCGTTCAACTCGTATACAGGACAGTTAGCTGTGACGGTACAGGAAAATGGTAGCGCGGCGAAATGGACAGACGGTAAGTATTAAACTGATATTCTATAAGCCACACGATAACACAGTCATTATTACAATTAGAAACGCGAAACGATCGCGCTGGGAGATACCGTGTCACGCTAATTACAAATAACGTCTATTGCGGAAGTCAACGCTGTTCCGAACACGTAGCCAACCACGCGTTCAAAGTGAACGAACTTTTTAATAAATATAATGATTTATTGCATCGTCGCATGCCACGAATGCGATTCTCATTTATTTTATTGCACAGCCGTCGGTGTAATGTAGTAAATGGCTTGTACGTAAAGCCAGTAGAGCAGCATTCCCGTGTTGCGAATCTAACGCTGCTTGTCGAATATACGAATAACTTTGGCAAACAATTCGTTCTATTTTTGTGTAAGTACAGAATGATCGAATTTTGGGTCATCGATAAAATTTTGTGTCGCCAGACTTGAAATGATTTTATATCTTCGAAACATTGTATTATAAAGTTATACTTGGAATATGGATGTTTTAAGTTGTCAGAATGGTATGATAATTATTAATGATAATTATGATAATTGTTATTGTCAAGTATTTTTATTATGATATTAATTCTTATAGAAAATTATATTATTATAGGAAATTTTCTTTTAGACAGGTAATAATATGAGAAACCTTTTTCCAAATTGAGTCAGAGTTATTAGTTCATTAACAAAATAGTGATGTTTCAAATGAAAGAGATTGTTAAAGATGCAACTATTATCATAATTTGTGCTTAGAGCATAATATTTGCACAATCTTTCCAAATTCTACAAAAATATTTTACAGCTTTATTTTCTATACTTGGAATATGGATATTTTAAGTTGTCAGAATGGTATGATAATTATTAGTGGCAATTATAATAATTGTTATTATCAAGTATTTTTGTTATGATATTAATTCTTGTAAGAAATGCAGGAAATTTTCTTTTAGACAGGTAGTAATATGAGAAATCTTTTTCCAAATTGAGTCAGAGTTATGAATTGATTAACAAAAGAATGATGTTTCAAATGAAAGAGATTGTTAAAGATGCAATTATTATCATAATTTGTGCTACAGATTAATTCTGAATTATACAAGAATCTTTGCAAAAGTTTAAAATTAAAGTGATTACAACTTCAAGACAAGCATATTGTAAATTACTAAAATAAGGTACAAACAGCTTGGAGCATAATATTTGCACAATCTTTCCAAATTCTACAAAAATATTTCACAGCTTTATTTTCTAAACTTGGAATCGTTTATTAGTAATAAATAAATATTATTCTTTAAAACTTGTGTATTGAATAACTGTTTTAATTAATTCATAAGATTTCCAATCCTCCTGTGATCAACGTTAAAACAAATATTAATTTTGTTTCGTGGCATATATGTATAAAAATAATATAAAGATAAAATATCTATCGTTAATTTTATTCTTTAGAAATAAATAACAGTATTTAAAATTATTTAAAATTTCAGGATATTTTAAGCTGTTTCTTAAATATATTAACTTGAAGCTTCGCCTAAAAAATTATTTATATCTATTACATAACTTATAGTTGCAATTACCAAACATATATTTTTCCATAGACTTATAATAATTTAAGAAGATCTGATGCTGTCATACAAGAATATTTGTGTTTCATATTTTCATCCAGCTGTAATTATAAGCTACGAGGAAACACATACAAAACAATTCCTCGTAATTTTTGACAAAAAGAATTTACGAATTCGTCTGATATAACAAGCAACAAATTAAAAACTATTAAAAATTCAGGACATTTGAAGTCTTTTTAAGTTTTTTAAATATATTAAATATAGTACTGTGATACTAAATATAGGACAACATATTAATATTAAATATAGTACTATAGTACTAATGAACGTATTTATTATCGCACTGTGTTAATCCCTTATACTATAACGAATCTAACTCGTTATGGATTTTTCATTCCAAACCATAGGAAAACAAGATGCACACACCATGCAACTAAAATTATATTTTACATGTTTTAACACGTATGAAGTTTGTTCAAACCGTAAATATATTCACAATTTCATTCTGAGCGAAATAAATATATAAAACTTAATTAAAATTAAATGCTTTTCCAATCTACAGTGTTTCATAATTCAATCCTATTACAAGGGGTTAAGGTCCAACAATTTGTAATATCCATTAGGTAATTCTGGTAGAATTTATTTCCCTAAAAACAAATCCGTAATCAAAATTGCTCTATCGCCCTCGGTTTTCGAAAATTGTAAATTTTTCTAAAAACGTACGATTTTTTACTGTAATGAAATATTATATAGAAAGTAAGAACGTTAAGAGGTTCGTTGTTATTTCATAAATTAGCTGAGAGCATCCAGAGTTTATCAATATTCATAATTATAATTATTTGTGTTTCTGAATAACTATAATTCGTCATCAAAATTTCAAAATAATCCGCTGAGCGCACTTTCTACGCACTATCCTTGCAATTTTACGAAAAGTTCTTTATCTGGTACGAATTTTCTGCACAGTATCGTATTCTGTAGATTTTTCTGAGGAAGAGTCACATTTTCATGGATTTTCATGGAACAGAATTATCGAAACAGTTTTCAATTCGATTAGATCGAGAAAATATTCATCGTTAACATGCATACTGTGTTTTACTGCCACGTAATTGTTACTGGATTAGTTTGCAACGGCGAAAAATAAGAATAACTATGCCTGTATACGAGATACTATCCGTAGAGAAGGTATACCGCAAGAGAAGTGACACGTATTTCGAATTTGAGAAGAACTGATTTTATTTAGGTTTTAGGATGTTTATGTAGGATCGCGTTGGGTGAATTGGCTAAAATAGTGTTGTTTGCTTCTTGACAGAATGAAATAAGCTAATACATAGAGTATTGGCTAAGAGAGATTCGCTGTGACTTTGACTTTTTACTCACATACTGACACACTCTTAGAGACCAGCTTAAAAACTGTTAAATACTCCTGGAGACTGACTCGCCCGCGCCCTTGCACCCTTATTTAAGCCATTCATTCTGTCCTCGTCCATACCCAGGCTTTCCTTCCAATCTCCTTTCCCACGCAACCTCGGTGGGCCAGGTATTAGGCTGTCCCATAAGTTTCTTCCTTTCTTTTTGGTGCGAAATCAATAGACGATATTTGTTGTTCAAGGTTGATTTGCTGTGTTATACATGAACCGTTTTGCTCTATTACCTTCTTCCATCTCTCAGGAAGCCTCATTATGCCCTCTTTCCAAAATCGTTGAGACTTACTTGCAAAATTGACGAGGTCCGTATCCGTCGTTGCTGGGCGGCCGCTGCGGTCTTCATCTTTCGAATCAAAATTGCCAGCTCTAAATTTCTTAAACCAATTGCGGACGGTTCTAATAGTCGTAGTACCACTCCCATAAACGGTGCAAATCTCGTCTGCAGTGTCCTTTGCACTGCTACCATTTTTAAAGCAATGAAGAATAACATGCCGCAAATGCTTCTTTCGGCTATCCATATCGAACGGCGTAGAAAAAGATTTTAAAAGAGACTTTGTCACCAACGAAACGTACTTTGAAAGAGCTGTGAGAGGACTGAAATCGATGCCATAAACGGACAATAGATAAGTCTGCATGTTAATGAACATAGCAGGCTCGAGGACATACATAGCGTGGCGCGGAAAATACTTATGGGACACCCTAATACTTCAACCAATCTGGACGCATCCCTGAACTTTCACTCGACTCTACTATAGATATTCTTTGCAGTCGATCCTCTTGCACACAGTCACTTTCGTTCTAAGTCCAGACACACTTGACATTCTTTCAGGGCCGTACTTGTTCCAATCCCACATCTATTATCTTAAATTCTGCTCAAACTCATAATAATTCAAGAAAATTCGACGCCAGCGTACACGAATATCCGTGTTCCATCAGCTAGGCCACATTGAACGACGTCGTGACCTAGGTTACTCTTTGATTCCAGCTCTTCTCGCTTTTTCCCACGTATACTCGACTCACAATCTCTTCCTCGTTGCGGCGCAGTAGGCAAGACGCTACGAACAGAATGATGAAATACTGACAAGTTCGTCTGACGGGCAGGTTTCTATTTCTAGACGGTAGTTCCGTGACGACAGGAGCTGGTGCTGGAGGCGGAGGCGGCGGTGGTGGTAGCGTCGGAGGAAGCGTCGGTGGTAGCGCCGACGCCTATAGGCAAAGCAGCAGCGCGAGTCCACGCGGGGTCGTAACCGGCGGTGGTTATTGCGGAAGTTCGGCTAGTACACCTCACAGTCACAGTACAAACGGAAGTTACTCGGTAGCCAACCCGTACACCGGTAGCCCAACTCTTTATACATCGCGTAAGTATATCCTTTTACTCTTACCGACCTTATCTATCTACTTTCCGATCTTAGCAACCTGGTCCGATTGGCTCTGCTTCGCCATTTTGACTTTTGCCGTTCATTGACACGTCGAAATGTATCGATATTCGCGATTTCGATTAGAGTTCTCGCGTAATTTCGTTTTCTACTGTTGCTATCGTTGTTACGATGAATTACCTGGTATCTGATATTGTAAATAACAGTATTAATTTTGTATTTGGTACCGTGTTAATAATTACAGTTACCGATAGTGTATAGTGTATAATGTATAATTCTTTTCGTTTATTTAATTTTTGGATTTAATGTATTTTCTTAACGTTAGTCTTAGGTGAAATCAAATTTCATCGTGTTGAATTTAATTGAACAATATCTAAAATTATAGATATCTCCTTTGTTCAGTTTTAAAAATATTGGCAATCAATGTTAGTAATATTGGGGAAAAAATTCTTTTCATTTTTGTATTAGTGGACTTATAGGGTCCAAACATATTTTCTTACTGTAATTAAATTTTATACATAATTTAATTTTATGATATCTTAATTTGTGTCCCCTTTTGTTTTAATTTTCTATTCCCTTCTGTTATAAAATTTTTGAAATTTTTGAATATCGGAAATTATAGGTATCCCCTTTGTTCGGTTTTAAAAATATTGGCAACGAATGTTAGTAATATTGGGGAAAAAATTCTTATTTTTGTCTTTATAGGATCCAACCACATTAATTAAATTTTATACATAATTTAATTTAATAATACCTTAATTTGTGTCCTGTTTTGTTTTAATTTTCTATTCCGTCCTGTTGTAAAATTTTTGATTGTAATCTTCAGAAATAATATATTATTTTTGATACCATGTTAACAATAAATATTAACGATAGTGACAATTCTTTTTATTTATGTCCTTATTAGATTTGAACAAATTTCCCCCATTTTAATCCCAGATCTGCTTAAATTTTATATTTAATTTAATTTAACCTCGTTTTTATTTTATCATCTAATTTTATCACAAAATTAAAATACGTAATCTTCCAAGATAATAAATTATTCCAATTGACTAAGTCGAAGGAATAATTTATTATCACAATCCATACACAATGATTCATAAACAACCCCGTGATCTTAGAAAATAATTCTACTTTGTATTCACAAGTATCGCCATAGCAAACAGATGAACAATTATTTTTGGAAAAGCATGAAACGCGTTCGAATTAAATTCTTTCCTTCCACACGAGCAAGAACGATCGAGCAGAAAGAAATCGTGAATCTTCGATGCATTTCGGCTTGTAATTTAGCATGCATGAGGAATGCAAATTCGTGTTCACGTGGAATCGTAGCACGCATGCGCTTGCATACGTTTAGTGGTATTCTGGCGCACGCACTTATGATTTTCCCTTATGTGAATTTTCGTTTTAGCGCACGAACAGTATGGCATTTTCTATACGTCCGGGGACGGGAGTGCGTTCGCCCCCGTAGTACGACCACCGACCACCTCAGTCCCACTGCACTGGTCCACACAGCACCACCTCGCCACAGCCGCCCAGTAACCGCTAACCGTCCACCATCACAACCACCATCATCACCACCACAACCACCCTATGCACTGCGATTAAAGAATTATGAGAAACATGCACGAGAGACGAGACTCGAGGATGTATGTACACACACGTTCATTTATGAATTGTTGATAATCCCCCCTCCTGTCCTTGATTTTTGTTAATTCGATACCACGTCGCAATTATCGACGTCTTGCTACTACCATTGGATATACTAGATTCGAAACACAGTCGATTTATTATTTTAAATCGGTTAGATCACGTTAATTTGCTTCCCTTCGACGAAATTTATTTATTACAATTTTTATGGGATCTTTTGAATATTTAATTACCATGCATTTATGCTTTGTTTTTCTAGGAAAGAATATATATTTTTTTAAATTGGTGTTTGTTAAATTTTAGATCGTTTAATGTATTTTTATTTTGGTATATTTTGTGAATATTGTTAAAGAAGAGGTATTTTGAGAGTTTATTGACCCCTTGATATGTAATGCATATTCTTTCTAAGCAATTGGTAATTGGGGAAGAATTATTAATTTGTGACAAATGTAAAATGCTAAGACAAATCTGTTATGTAAAACATAGTGCATATTTATGATAAATTCAGGTGGCAGGACACATTAATGATGCCTGTATGAGATAAGAGAATAAATAGTATTGAGAAATCAAGTAATATTAAAAACATTTTATATATTTCTCTCCTTATGGTTATTAAAATAAAGATTTACATGGAACATTCAAAAATTGTTTGAATAGTACATTATACAATAGAAAGAACACCCCTTAATAAACGTATTATGAACCTACATTTTACTTTTTAATTATTTAATAATTTATGTTTCAGTTTCACAATTTAAAAATATTTTATACTTTTCCTTATAAAAAGATTAATTTATTGCAATGAACCTACATATTATTTTTTAATTATTTAATAATTTCTGTTTCAGTTTCACAATATGAAAATATTTTATACTTTTCCTTATACAAGGATTAATTTATTGTTAATGATATCAAGTCAATACAAGTGAAATGTTAATGCAAGTGAAATTTGTATAATTTGTTCTAATATATTAAAAATTTGTAATATTTTGCAACTGATGGTTATGTACTTAGTGGATGAATTATAGGGAATAATATTGAATTATTAATAATATTTCTATAATATTTCTATAACAGTACCCTTACAAGAGGAACGTTGTAATATCGTTTATTGCCACCGATTGTTAAGAGCTTCTTAGCCAACAAGATCGTTAGCGTCGTTAGAGTGGTCGTTTTGTTGGCACGTGTCTGAACGACGTTTCGAATACAATCCTTCATCTTGTAATGTACCCCAATCATCGATATGAAACTACCCCAATTCATCGAAATCCCTACAATACATAAACTAAATTGAATTACTTTGTACGAATATGCATGAATCGAATATTCAGTTACATTATTGTCTAATTATTTTCTATGTATTCCAATTGCCTTGAATTTATCAAAAATTATTTGTTCATATGTAAAACCTACATACGTGGACAAAGAAATTATGCAATTGACTCGTTATAACTTAATTTGTTCAATTTGTGAGCTGGGGATTCGAGAAAACTTTTGTTATTACAATTTTGTAGAATACTTTCTCTGTTAATTGAAGAGTTCATATCAAAATTTAGCCAATTTTATTGACGTTTTAGAAAATGTATCTTCTTTTATAATACTGATTGCACAATGTGTTAATTACTATTAGCCCTTTGACTGCCACGCAGGAATCACATGTTTCGCTCAGGACGCCACGGGGGTGTACCCCAGATAGATGCAAGATTTGTTTCAATATTTTTGCGACCGACGTTCTGACAAAAATTTTTAATTGTTCAATGCGGAACTTTTTAGTTCAAAGTATCTTCTAATTAGCGGTTATATTCAAAATTCACTAACTGTCAATTTTCATTCAACTTTTACAATTGCAGTTTTACAAGTAATTCAAGCGCTCTGGTCACCAATGACCACCATGGCGCCACAGGAAAAGCCATGATCGGTTATGTATGACCAACGTGGCAGTCAAAGTGTTAATTTACACATTATTAATTAATTACAATCATTTACACATTAATATTATCTATAAATTACTATTATTGCATTATTATCCAAAAACTTAAAAAATTTATAAGATTCGTGTTTTATATAGTCTTTTCAAATATATTGTATGAATCATATTATTTACAGTTTTGTATTATTTAATATTTAATATTATATTTATACATTTATATATATATTTATAAATTTATGATTATTATTACTAATTTTTATTAGAAAATAGAAGTACCAAAATTCGAGATGCACATTTTATCAACACCATGGATATATTGAAAAATAATTTTCTCGAATCGCTAATTCAGAAATTACTTTTTAAGCGATAAATTATAGCGAATGTCACTAACATATAACCGACAGTGGGTATGTTGCAGGACTAGGAGAGGTGGTCGGTTCACCGTTCAACATAAACCCATTTATGTTGCCCACCTGCAGCCAAGGATACTCGAGCGCCACCAGTCCGTTGCTCTCGTCGAACGGCAAATAGTGTTACGAGATGTAAGCTCCGGCGAAAATATCGAGGGGCTATGTGTTCACGGAAGCGAAATCCATCGATGCGGAGGATTTCAACGAATTCTGATATTCCAATAATCATCGTATTCGCGATTGACAATCGCTTTCATGAATCGAAATCGCTCCTCTCGATTCACCATTTTACTTTTTCCCTAGTTGCCGCGTAAAGGAAGAAGGAACGACCGCAGTGAAGCGTCTGCGCACGATTTTCGTCGGAGCCGAGCGATGAATTCTGTTTGCGAGAGTATATCGAAACCAGTGCAAAAATTAACAACGTTTTATCATTAGGAATGATCGAATAAGTTAAGGAATGATACATATCGAAGCACATAGGGGTGTTTTCTTCATCTATTGACGTGGTCGTTCGGTTCTCACGCGTGTGTACAATTTTCAATAGTCCCAATTGACTATACATATTCACTTTACTATAATAAAACGATCATTTTATTTACTATTTTTATTTACATATTTATCTTTCATCAGAAATGCATGCTATCTAGCATAACAATCTTTAACTTATTTTTAAAGCTAAGCACAGATTCACTTTTATTGTTGCTATAATTAAATACGAAATTAATTATCAATTTTTAAAATTCTTAATTTTATCAAACGAATTACCTTTATTATATTTCCAATTTTATTTTTCATTTATTTCGTCCACGAAGGAAGGCTAATTGTTCAAATTGCTGTTATCACGGGATGTGAAATGGAATGGCAATTGTAATAATTCAATAGTATCCTTGAGAAGCAACCGAACGACTACTCTCTTTTCGTGTCACCGATATCGCTATTTTTAATCTAGCAATCCCGATACGAAAAGACCATTCTTATCGATAGAGTCGAGTACCTCCTTTGCCCTGCGTCTCCTCTCGTATACGAAATCATTAAAGGGTTCTAAACTCGCGACAAACTATTTTCATCGTGTTTTTCTTCAACTTCTTAGCGAGGCGTCCTGACAATACGCCTGGTTGTTCATAAGTACCGGAAAAGGGGGCAATAGTATACGCAGGCGGGGACGTTCACAGGGTGCTGAGCAATTTTATATCAAAGCAAGCAAAGAGGCTAACGAGGGTCTAGGGGAAAAGAACAACACCGCTAGACGGACATATCGCTTATCAGTGAATAACAGACATCATAGTTTTAGAGAGCATTTTCGAGTTTGAAATTTTATCTTCCTACCCGTACGTTTTAAGAGACTAACCAATATCGGCTAGGTAGCGTAACGTCTAACTTGTAATTTGTAAATTTCCCTGTAAATATTGTTGCGATGTACAAAAAGATAAAACTATTTCCAGGAATCCAACGAAACGATATTAACGTGATTGTAGGGCGAAAATTATTATACATAGATGTAAATAATCGTAGAGCGTCATAGCTTGATTCGTATGATTACACGCTGGCGATCCAATCTTTTAACGTGCAAAACGATCCTATATAAATATACCCCGCTGTTTTTCATGGATATTTCTACAATCGGTAAAAACAAACTTGTCTCTTCCAACGTTTATAACGATTCGTGTTCTTCCTAACTCGAAAAATGAAAAAAAAAAAAAAAGGAGAAGATGAAGAAAAGGGAAAGAAAATATAGGAAAACGACTGTAACGATGGATGAAAGAAATGTCACGGGTAACGCTACGTATTGGAAAGCAACGTTAAAAATTGGAATCGTCCGCAGCAACTGTATAAAACGTATAGTTGATTTGAATCGTTCGATAAGCCGGCCCAAAACAAATTCCACAGGAAACGAATCTCACGAAAGTATACGAAGCATGCATACCGTTGCAGAATTGAAATCTCCAATTAGTCCAGATTTTGCAGCAGTTTACGAGCGTAGATCGTATCGTTTTCATTTTTTCTCGGAACGAGTGTCGTTAAAAGTTATTATTGTAAAAAGTTCCTTTTTGCATATCGACTTGATGGAGCAGACCTCCGTCGTGGATGGTGCGCTCTCTGTCCCGGAGCCGCACGCTCTGTGATCTTGTGATCTTGATTATAATATTAATTATCACTTTCGTTCGATCACACAATGTCATCTTTTACATGGCGCGTCGTTCTTGTACGCATGCGAACGCACACGAGCACGTATACGCGCGTACAAACACTCGTCGATGTATATTAAAATAAATTAAACTTACATTTTTGAGAATTAAAATCAACCGTTCGAGATTTATTCCTCGATCCCATCATTTATAATTTAACGTCGAGTTTATGACCAAATACTATGTTTTATAAATGATGGTAAGTATTGGACGAAATAGTACTATACACTGCAATATTATTTTTTAATTGTAGAATATTAGATATCATAAAGCAATATTTTTATTTAATTTATAAGTTAATTTCAGTAGAAATAAATTTATTTCCTATACAGATATTAACGATATTTTTATTTGATGAAGAACTACTTTGGTAATTACTATTTATTAACCCTTTGCACTCGAGAGGTAAGCTTCAGTCACCATTTCATAAAATTTGGAAGATCGATATTAATTAACATATCAAATTTAATGCAATGTAACAATGTAGGAGGTATCGAAATCAAATAATTCTACAATTCTGTTATTATACAATTCTTTATTTACTGCTTAAAAAAGTATCGTCAGTTTTTTAGTAGAGAATCTTTGAATTTCTACTCTTCTCTAGCCAAAAGATCGTCGAGTGCAAAGGGTTAATACCCTGTGCATGTAAAAGACTATAATTCTAATTTCATTAACCTAATTTTTGTATTCAGAGTATATCCAGAAATTACAGTGTTTATTAATTGTACAAATTTTGTATAATAATTGAATCAATTTTATTTCAATTAATTTTACTTTTATATTCAGGAATAATTATTTTTTATTATTGTATACCATTTTACACATTTTTGTATTTACTTAAAAAACAATATTTAGCTCTATAATTAATTTAATTTTCATAATCCTTTGTATTCTTTATCAACATCGACTCAGATACCTCTACAAAAGGCAAATGAATCCGAAATCTCTCTCTCTATTTACAATTTCCTGATAACCCGTTGATTGCCGCAGGGGTCACTGGTGACCGGCGATGCGACCAATAGTAAAAATACATAATTAGAATAAATATCGATACCAATAAATTTTTTAGTAATAACATTGTTATTATAATTGTTTAAAGAAATTAATGTCATATAGAACATATAAGAATAATTTTATTAATATAATATAATTTCATTAATAATAAAATAATACAATCACCTATTCAATAAATCGACACAATATGTTACCACTTTTCTAGTAGAATTCTTTGCACTTATTCTTCCTAGCTGCTTGGAATATTTTTCGTGGCACACTTTGCAAAATTATCTTACATTTCATACTTTGTCCGCCATTTTTTTTTATTCATGACAAAGTTTTTTCTATAATCAGTTACTCGATGAAATACAAACTTTATAATCAGAACATTTCACTAATTTGAGAAAACCAATAATCGAGATATTAACAATTGACAATACACTACTGAGTATAGACATCAACACAGTTCTACAGCCATTTTATTAACCTATTCTCTGATCATCTGTATTATATTGCAACTCTAGAATTATCAGTGGATACATCAATTATCGCTAGAGATATTGACAATTAGCAATACAGTACTGAGTACAGCCATCAACAAAATACTATGGCTGTTGGATTAATTTATTCACTGATGATTTAAATTCTATAGCAATTTTGAATGGTCGAAGGTTAAATCAATTATAACTGGAGATATTAACAATTGACAATACACTACTGAGTATAGCTATCAACACAGTTCTACAGCCATTTTATTAACCTATTCTCTGATCATCTATATTATATTGCAATTCTAGAATGATCAATCTATAGATCAATTATAGCTACGGAGATTGATAATCGAAAATACAGTACTGAGTATAGCAATCTAAACAGTACTACATCCATTAGTTTAATTTATTCTCTGATTAGAAAAATTGGTTTACAGCGTCGTGGGTTTCGCGGTGACCCGCACCCCCACCTCTATAAAAATGCTTTAACCCCTTGACTACGGCAGACTTTGATACGTAGTAGCCATACCATACGACAGGAATTGAGTTACGATGTGCGCCATTTTTGTGAAAACAAGCGCCCTCCGTGTCAGAAAGCCGAACTACGCCGAGTGTCTATAGGCGCTCTCCGTGTCACAAACGTAAAATTTCTAAGCATCTATAGGCGCTCTTCTTGTCACAAACGCAAAATTTCTAAGCATCTATAGGCGCCCACAGTAGCCAAGGGGTTAAACATGATGGTACTACTCAACTTATCTGCTGTAAATAACATTTCGCATACTAAATAATAAATATTAATAAATAGCGTACTAAAATATTCACGTTGGCACCATGGGCAAAGGCACGTGAAGTGCGCGTTAAATCATGCAATCGGAAATTTTCCCTGGAAAATAACAAGTTAATCGTCACGAACACCTCCTGTTGCGGCGTGCTCCCAGGAGGAAGCACGTTGGGATCAACAAATAGCGAAACAGGATCTCGAGGACCACTTCGGAGCGATTAGTTCACATGGTGTCCTGTTACCTCTGGCCGTCAAACGGTGGCGCGCACGACGGGCGTTATTGTAAAGCTGTTTGTGTTATTAGATTTAGATTGGTCGGCACGTGGCGCGCGGTATGGCTGCCACGTGTCCCATTGCAAACGTTACGACGTGGATACAATACGAAATCGTTTTTCTTGCAATATTGCTTCCCGTGCCGGCCCCAAACGAAAACACGTTCTTTCATCGATGATCTGTCGTGTCGCCATTATTTCCCGCGATGTGGCAGCACGCTCGCTGATTAATTATTAACACGATCGCAAATCGCTTTCTCAGCCATCTTACTTTACCGCCATTGTTCCTGCAGTCGATATAACCCCCGTTTCGAGATTAATTATTGACGTTGCCATTGGACCGGTTGAATAACTCGAAAAATGGAGCAGACCTTGAAAGTGTTGGACCCGCTGAAGTGCTTTTATGCTGTACATTTTATATTTCGGTACACTAATAGGCTTTTTCGCTCAGTTGTTTCGATCCCCTGGCACAAACAGACCCTCGCTGCCCGCCAATCCACCGCGAGCAGTCAGCTTACTTTTTTGGCACGTGCGATCCCATAAAATTCTATACGAGGCATGTCGCGCTCGATCTAATTGGAATCTAAAAAAAAAAAGAGAGAGAGGGGAGGGGTGGAAAACGAACAATTTTATGGAAAGACGATAATTTCGTTTCTTATCTTCTGGTTTTTGCT